GAAACAGAGATCTGAGAGGAGATTGAGAGTGTGGAGTGGGGTTGTGTGGGACAGGTAGGTTTGTGCAATAAGAAAAAAACAAAATGAAATGTAGAGAGAGAGAGAAAAAATTGGTGGTTTTGTTTCCACTATGAACTTGGGTTCACAACCGTTCACAGGATAAAAATCTAAACGGATGAGAGCTCACATCTTTTTTATTTTAGCACATAAAGTTTAGCAGCTGTGAGGGTTGGATTGGATTTTCTAATTTCATTTTCTACTTGTTATCAGCGCTAAAACTTTGGCCGAAAGCTGTCAATAACGGTTTAAGTTTCAAACAATAACTTGAAAAAATACATAAAATGTAAAAAGCAGTCCACCTTCGGATTTTGCTTTCAAAGTAACATTRCAATATTTTCTTAAACTTGACATTAATAATCAGCAAAGCAATGACTTAGTTGACAAAAATAACAAGTGTGTAAGTGTTCTACAATAAACAAAGTCTTATCATTTTTAATTTCTATACTAACACTTTTTGGAAACAACTCTTTATAACTTTAGATTTGAAGTTTGAACTTTTGTTTTCTTGTAAATTAAAGTGATTTAAATCAATATGCACTCAAAAAAAAAAAGATTTCAGTTCATCCATATAAATCAGTTTTGTCATGCTTTAAACAGAAATTAATCACCCCATGGTGCAGTTTCAACCTTTCTGCTCAATATTTTGGTTTCCCAGCTGCAACTCCTTCACTTAGTTCAGTCAGCAGCAGAAAATGTTTAGAGGTAAAGCTTTCAAGAAAGTACCACATTTTTTTATTTTATTTGGTTTTGTATATTTTTATTCCAATAATTTATGCACACAAACAAAATCCCAATAAGACAACTAAATTTTAAAAAAAACATCACCAATGAATACTTTTTTCTCTCTCAAATAAATAAAAATACTTTTAATTTTACTGAACCACATTTCTCATCTAATTAAAAAAACTGACCATGGGACATGTTTACATTGGAACTAATCTAGCAACATCCTGTAAAAGTCGAGAGTGTGAGTACTCTGTGTTTACTGGGATGACTTCTACTTTTTCCCACAAGACCATCATTTTTAAAATAATACCAACACTCTTGCAGAGGGACTGAAACTGACTGAAACCATATTAGGAAACTATTTACTAATTTAAAACAATTTTGCAATACATGTTTATTAAAAAATGTTTCTAAAACCACAGAGAGAAGTCGATCATCACTGGGTTTAATGTAAAGTGTATTATTTCTGCATTAGCCTTTCCTTGATACCTTAATGCTATGTCTGTTTTTATGCTTGCTTTAGCCATGTCACCCTGATGCTAACACAATAAATCTGCAGGCTACTAGTAGTAGGTTAATGATTCTAAATTAATTCACTGTCTCTGTCATTTTGTTCCATCTAACCTACACCTCTCAGCAAAAAGCAGAGCAAATATTCTTCTTTATAAACTTGGCAGGATCCTACATAAGTAATAGTTTTTCTTTAAGGGGATGAACAAACTGGTAACCATTTGCTGACATTTTTTCCCCCCAAAATGACTAAACAGCTGCCCTTGTTTCTTTCTTTTACTGTTCAATATGAGTTAAACTGCAAACTTGTTTTAGCACAAAAGCTTCTCTGCAGCTTGACTTTTTGGTAGAGGAATGGTTCCTCTGCCCCAAAGAGCTGTGAACGCACGTTAAATAGTGTATCACCAGTCTGTGTTCGTAGTAACTAAAGCAGAGTGCAAAAGAGGTCACGAGTGAGCCACGAGTGAGCAACATGCACAAAGGTACAAAAGAAAAGAAACATGTCAGACCAAAGTGCCACCCACTATGCCTCCTTCATCTTGCTGCGGTGGCCTTCAACGACGTGCCTTCTCACCCACGTTGGGAAACACTTTATGGGCAACAATCAAAATAGTATAGAAGTAATCATCTGCAGGGGCCCTGCTAGAAGAACAACCTACGAGTCTAACTGACACTTACTACACTTCCACGTGAAAAATAAATGCACGTTTTTTTGACAGGACCATACAAAGGTGTATCTGTACAGTTTGAGTCTCTGAGGTTTTAGGAGAGGCTGCAGACCACCAGCCACTTCTAACCGACTGGGATAAACAGTGATAAAAGAAGATAAAGGGCACAATAAACGTCACATTACCCCAGCTCTTTGCCTCTGCTCACCGCAGCATCAGATAACTGCAGCCGGAAGAAGAAAAAAAGTCTGGTTTCCTCTAGCATATAATTGGTTATCTTGTTGCGATCTACTGCTCTTTTGGCTTTGCAGAGTACAGTATAAAAGAGCAAAAGTGGGGAAAGTGGAAAAAATCTTAAATGAGACTGTTTTGGCTGTGAACGAACTAAGTCACTATGGGGCACACAAATCCTTCAGTCGAGTTATTTGCATCTCACCAAGTTGTGAACTTAAAATGTGCAACAATAAACCAACAGAGAATAAAAATAAACATAAATGATAAATAGGCTGTGATAAAACAATGACCATAGCAAGATACTTTCACATTATCACTTAATAGTTTATTGGGCTTATTTAAATCTGACTGACAAACAGGCTGTTTTCTTTTTTCAAAGTATTTCTATGAAGACTATCAAAAACTGAAGCCCTTATTCTAAATAATAAAAAAGATCTATGGTATGCCTTTTATATGACTCATTTTTAGCATTGATTGTGTAAATCAAGATGCCTGTGACAATATAATGAAATTATAATGTTTGTTATGCCAAGAAAAATCTCACTTGAGTTGAAGATCGTAGACAGGAAATAAATCACAAAGTTACTGCGTAGCTGTTCATAAAAAAATAATAAATGCAAAGTGAAATATGAATTATAAGCTAAGTGAGTATGATCTGATCAGTCATAAAATTACAACATAAACTTMATCATTATATCTCCACATATACCTAGATTAAAAAGTATAATTCAACTTAAAATTCCTCTAAATTCCATAAAACGGATTTCAGGTCATGTTTGTACAGTTTATTTTAGTTTTAAACACATTTCAGTTTGATTCCATGCAAATGGAGCAGCATAGCTAAAATCTATTTTCCCAATACAGTATGTGCTCTGGGAACACACAGCCTACTGTAGCAGGAGTTAATTATGTATACAAAACAACAACATGACCAGCTTTTGCTAAACATGTGGATCTGTAAATATGGAGAAAGCAAAACCAAAAGCAGATATGAATATAGCAGTTATGAAGTTTACATAAAAAGGGTCAACAAAAAACAAACRAACAAAAAACAWGTAAAGGAYACATAAAATTAAAACATGTTTTAGCATGCATGCACAATAATCAAACTCAGACATAAATGAGACTGCTAACATCCTGTTGTTAAACCTGAATTAAAGTCATGTTTTTATTTTGCAATAAAAGTTCAAATGTTGCCGTATTTTTAGACATGTAAAATGAGTTATAAAATATGATTACATCTATTATAAATATGAGACCTTTCTTTCAGATGAAAGATTTGGTCATTTATTATTAAGGGTGGCTGTCGCTCAGTGGTTGGGGGAGTTGTCCTATAACCAGTGGGTTGCTGGTTAGATTCTCTGTTCCTTTATGTCTCAGTCCTTGGGCAAGACTCCTCACCTGCCTTTACTGCTGGTGATGGTCAGAGGATSGGTGGTGCCGGTGCATGACAACTTCGCTTCTGTCAGTCTGCCCCAGGGCAGCTGTGGCTACATTGTAGCTTACCACCATCAATATTGTGAATGTGCTATACATAAATTGAAGCCATTTACCATTTTTAATAAAGTGCACCATGAGTTTTTATACTGTTCATAGACAAATTTTAGGCCAAACAACTTGCTTTCAACTTTTCTGAATGGAAGTTGCAGCTCACAAAGGGTCAAATGTAGACCAATCAGCATACCAGAGTACCATCTGCATAAAGGTGAAAAATTGCACAATAAACTTTATAATAAAATTTTTGCATATGTAATGAATAGGAGTAGTCCCAGAACTGACCCCTGGGGGACACCCTTGCTTAAACCAAACCAGATGTGATATATTTTCTGCCTACACAGATATGCTTGAAATGTAATTTAGTGGTAAAGGTAATTCAGAATGTAATATATGTTTTTTTTGTTAATTTTCCATTTTACCAAAGTTGCCCTCACAGTTTGATCACTGCCACTGAGGCGAATTTCACACCTTTGTATGGTTTCACTTTTAAGTTCCAACTTCTGTCATTACATAAGAATTCTTGTAAAACAGTTATTTTTAATTCCAAATACATGTGATATTTGAGTCATTTCATGAAGAAAACAGTGGAAAAAAATAAACTTTCCATCAAAACTACACCTTTTGTATAAAACATAAACTGTCTCTATTGATTTCACAGAGCTTTGAAAAATTTCCTGTCAGTTGAATTTTTGATTTGTCCAATAAAGATGCACACACTTTTGTGACATTTCTTCAATGATAAATTCAATTAAAATGCCTCTACTGTTAATTAAGGGTCAAACTAGACAAGGTCAGGACCGTTTCTTCATTTTTCTGTACAAAATAATTGGACAAAACTATTTTTACACAAAAATCGTCATCTAAAGGTTTTGATGTTCTTAGACATGGAATAGATAAAATATTTTTGTAATATTTCATTTAGTGTTGCATTTGCAGATGGTTTTTGTGAACTCATCTTACCATAAAAAGTCCAGAGTGAGTTGTCCAGCACAAAGGATATTTTTGATGAATATTAGGTTGTAACTCATTATCTGCTTACAATGGTTGGACAGAGGCTTTGTTTGAGTTTGAACAAAGTGAATTTCATGCATGCAAATTAGAATCCTACAGAATCACATTATTTCTKGAACTGACTGGCTGTTCATCAGGCATGTGCACCTTCCTAAAAATATCTCTACCCACATAAACTAATTTTAACTCTAGCTGTGGACAGTTTAGGCCGTCTATAATACACATCAGTGTRTTTATGTTCCGAAATCAGATAAAGACCTTAGAAAAATAGGGATTTTAGTGACTGTATCTCACCATAGAAATAGCCAGTCTTTTCCTAGATGGATTGATGCCTGATGGGGGGACAGTGTGGAGCCTAACACTGTACTGGGCCTGTGGTTAGAGACAGAGCAGGTAAAGGAAGAGAAAGAGAGGACAGAAGTGGGGAAGGAAACAAGATGCCAAGGCTTTAGTTAACAAGGTACAAGCAAGGCATTAGCAAAAATAAAATAATAATAATAAAAAAATCTTTCTCCTTTCCTCCTGTTGCTTTTCTCTCCCGTCACTCCCAGCAAACGAATGGAGGGGGAGGAGTAATGACACGAGAGTTACATAGTGATTTTATGCAGCGCTCTGCTGGGGGAAGAATGGAGGTTAATGAGCTGACATCCCCTCCACCCCTGAACATGCCTCCTCCCCTTCCACACCGCCCTTCTCTCTTACAAACACTGACAAGCATATTACACACAAAACGCCTGAACACTGGCTACGAGCCAAAGAGAACAAAAACATCATCAAGGATCAGAAGTAAAGTTTAGAATTTCTCTATGTATAGTTTATACAGGTTGTAATGAAAGCAGGCTTATGGATTTTTGTTTTCTTTTGTGGGTGTATATTTTAATTACAAACGGTTTCAAACCTAAAATAGAGCCGTAATAATAATCAAACTTTAGCGGAAGATTAACTGTAAAAAATGTGACCTGGTTAATGAAAAATACCACTAAGTTTAAAAGAACTGCAGAAATACAGGTGTCTGAAATTATTTCTGGTGATGTGACAACCGTTTCTTTTTCAATTCACCCTCTGTGGATCTTGAATGTGTCCTCTAAATGTCAGTAAAAAGCCTGACTGATCACAAAAGTGAAAAAAAAAAGCTAAGTTAAGATTAAAAGACGATCGTCCTTTTAAAAGTTTTACTGCTATATGACAAAAATAAAATAAAAAAAGTCCCACTCATATTGTTTCAGTCTGACTGAAAACACARTTGTTTTAATAAGTACAAACTTTCAAGCCCACAACACAGACCACAGTCTAAATATAAAAAAAAAATCGTGACATTACAGAGCAACGAGTGCTGTGAAAAACCAATCACTTTCAGGGCCTCCTACATTTCTTGAGTGTCACGTGGTGACGAGTACATGTCAATGTTAAATAAAGCCTTACTTTAAGTTGTATCGCCACAAAACAACAAAATGTACAAAAAAAAACATTGAATAGTTTATCTGAGCTGAAATATGCACAAACAAAACAAAATAGCATGGAGATGATTTATTTTGCTACATAGGAGAGCCTCCAAATAGCATTCAGCAGGTAAATATGCTGAATGCATGTTTCTCTAAACAAATTGCATTTGCATGAGCCTGTCTGACAATAAATAAACAGATGCAGGTGCAGGAAACATTACCATTAAGTAAATTTTGTTAGATAATGAGACAACCAAAGACTGATACTCTTTGTATTTATGCATGACCTTGACCTCTCTATTCATATGACAAACTACTGGTCTGCTGTATTGTGTGGCTCTCAGCTTCATCACAAGGATTCAGGAGAAGCAGAATGCTGCCATTTCGCTTCCAAATCTGAGCAATCTGTTCACTGTATATCTATAAAACTATTTAGTGCCCTGTTGTTGCCGATGCACCTTAACTGCCTCACATAAAATAAGCAGAAGTCATAAAGTAACAGCCTTCACAAAGTAAGAGCTTAACCAAAAGCAGAAATAGAACTGATAATGGAACAGCATAAACACGCTCAAAGGGCTTAGAGAACAATGGAAGACGAACAGCTAGTCATTAGCAYCCATTGTGAATCTTTCGAGTGAATAATTTGTGGAAAGCCTTGTGCGTTTTTAAATAAAATAAATTGAAGAGCCCTATACACAAACTATAAAATAATAACAGGCATTTCACCTCAGCACTATCTGGGCCTCTCAATTATTTACAACTAATGAAGTGCCTCGGGCCATATTCCACAATATCAACCATCCCAGGGAGGCGAAATCAGCTCGCTCAAATACTTAAACACATTTAGTCAGTCACGCAAAATGTCTGGGATATGAGACGAATGAMGATGTCAAACTTTTCTGTCTCTCATTTCACAAGCTCCGAACTTTAAAAAAAATGTTTCAGGAAAATGATCCAGTTGATAACAAAAAACTAATTGTGTAGAGTGCTCTGAAGGAATACGGTCTGGTTTTCATGTCCCCTGTTGGCACAGATGATTTCAGGGCAGTTGTCTGGCATCAGCCATGCAGTTGGAGCAACTGGAATTTYAAGCATCGTCTTCTGGGTTTTTGCATTCATGCATGTAAGCGTGCTCGAGCAAATGTTCATAAAAGTGCATTTCCCACACTCATAGTGTTGAGCATTCAGGTCTGTTCAAAACTTCGACGTTCTTCTTCTCCTTCGCTTAATCAACAAAATAAAACCACTTTTATTATGTAACCAGGTTTTAATCAACTCCGCGATATCTCAAGTCTTTGGTTGTAACTACACTACAGTGAATTTGATGTGCAAAGGATCCAAATTCCTCGACAGCTGGTAAATTCCTATAAGGAATGAAAAAAAAAAA